TATTTTTTTCATTTATTTTTTTCTGAAAATTTTTATCCAATATTTTCATAGATCTGCTCCTATCACATTTTTTCTTCTGTTAAACCAACAAAAGGTGAGTGACTGTTCTTTCAGAGTTTTAATAGTTGAAGGGGTTATGTATCTTTTCCCATTAATCATAAGCCATCTGTGGAACAAGCTTCCTGTTTTTCACCGCTTTCAACTCCACTTATTTCTGAATTCTCATATGAAAACATGTCTTATGCCTCTTACGTATTCCTAAAAATCATAAAATTGAATTTATTCCATTTCAGTGATGAACCTCCACCTAGTCAGATGCTTGAGCAATCCAATAAATGTTGTGCAATTTTCTGATTCTCACCAATTTAAATACATAATTTTCATACATAAATATTTTTTCTGAATTGCACACATTGTGTGTTACAGGAATCACTTTGCCACTGAGATGGACAAGTTTACTGCAAATATATTGGGATTATTGGAATCAGAATCTGAATTCCAATTCCTCAGAAGCTGTAAATATGGCTTACAAGAAGGGATATTTGAAATGCAGTTTTGAGCATTTCAATTATATTTTTCCACATAGTTGTATCCCCAACTAATATTTTGACTCAATGTTTAAGCAGTTTTTTGAATAACCTTGAGCACCGGGAAAGGAGTGCTGGATCATGTGAGCAAGGGCTCAGTACTGTGTGAACCCAGCTGTGTGGCGTCTGCTCTGGATCTTGTTTGCGTATGGATGTTTAGAAGCATCAGACAGATCAGATGTGCAGTTTTCTACAACCCGCATAGGCATATTGTAAAGGAATCTCTTTACTGATGTGAGTTAAATAAGAAACAGTAGTACAATTACATAAGTTTCAATGAGTGTCTGGCCTTATCATTGATCATTGAAAATGTAAAAACAGAAAGTATTTCTGCAAGTATTTGTGTTATCTGTGTGCATTGGAATACACAATTGCAATGTGTGCAATACAAAAAAGCATTTGTTCCCTCAGAGAATCTGTTTTTTCAAGTTTTTACTGTCAATGCATTTTTATTAGGCTTCCCCGGTTTGTAGATCTTTTTTAGAGAATTTTCTTCGAATTTGCTCTTAGAAAAACACTGAAGATTGCATGCAGTAAGGATTTTAGAGCATTTATGTACCAGAATTCCAACTGCATAAATACATGCATGTACACTGCAGCCAAATTTCTCTTATAAAATAGGTATCTTCTTGTAGAGAAGAAGAAGCCACTGCACAGTGAAGTGCAGATACTAAATTCACATTTTGAGTTAGTTAACAGAAGTCTGAAGGTAAAGCCAAAACCTGACTATGTTTATGAGAATATTTATCATTTTATGTCATTTTTGTGGTGAATACTTTGCAAGTCTTTGGGACTCTGAAACTTTTAAAAGTACTTTTAAGAATATTTTAGTATCCTGTGTTAATAGCCCTTACAAATTCTTCTTTGTCCAACTTGCATCCCAGTTTTTTTTGTTTTCTGTTACATGTTCTTTGTATTTTCCTTGTGGCTTCATGAAGATCATTAAAATATCGAGGCACATTTTTTGTTTCTTCACTTCAATTTTAGAGTAGGCTTTGAGGTTACCAAAAATGTTTAGTACTTTTCCTAAACTTCTCTGAGCAAAAAATATAGGTAATAAACACAGGAGGAAAAATACTCAAGCAGATCTTAGACAGTTACCATCAGAATAGGAATGTTGGTTTTTCAGTGAAGGACCCTGGTACCCTGTCTTGCCCTGTGCCACAAATGGTCATCTGTAGACTGTACCATGTGTAATCCAAAATTGCATCCAAAATAGCTGTTAGCTCTAAAATATGCATAATGGAATAATTTGACATGAAAGCTCCTTGGTATATTTTTAATGAAATTTAATTATTTTGTAAACCAGAACTTGGTTTATTAATGAATTGAAATGGTCACAGAAATAAGTTGGAGTTTTTTGTATAATTGTTGATAGGTGAGTTTATTTCTGAAACTAGTTGGCGAATGAGAGGTAATTTAGAAATGCAAATTTATACCCCACTGAGTATTTGCTATATGGGACTTGTTCCCATTCTTTCAAAGGAAGTTTTTGTAAATTGTGGCAAGTACGCTTGAGGCTTTTTTTCTCAAAATAAAAGCAAAAAAGGTAGCATCTAAAAGAAAACTTTCTGCTCCTTCTTGGTTTGTCCCCTTCTCATCCTCCCAGTTGTGAGAGGGGAACATTGGGAATGGGAACACTGAAGAGGGTTTTGTGAAGGACCACCGATGTGATTAGAGGGTTGGGGAACTTGACCTATGTAGAAATGTTGATGGAGCTGGGTTTGTTGAACCTGAAGAGGGGAAAGTTCTGAGGAGGGGAATCTGATCACAGTCTGGGTGTAGAGAAGGTGTAGGTAGCTGTCTTCATGAGGGTGCATGGGAACAAGGCAACAGGCTCATGTTGCTTCAGGAGGAATTCTGTCTCAACAGAACATGTGCTCACTATGAGAGCAGTAAAACACTGGAATAAATTTCCCAGATAAGGGGTGAAAGACTCTGCTTGACAGGGCCCTGGATAACCTAACATAAGGCTCTGTTTTTAACAGAAGGTGGGACCATGTGGTCTCCAGAGATCCTTTCCAACCTAAATTTTTCCATGATTCTCTGAATCTGTCTTGTCTTTCTCTGATATTGAAGCAAATATGGGGAAATGGACTAGGCAGGCTGTGGTACTGCTAGTAATTTGTGGAGAATAATAGTCCTGGCTCCTCTAATCTGATCTATTCCTGAGAGTGAAGCAACTGTACTGTGTTAGGAAGGAAACAGGAGGGGAGGACAGTTCAGGAGAAAGCAGTGCCTGAGCTTTTCAGAAGGGGGACGTGATAGACAACTGGAGTGGAGGGGAAAATACTGTATAAATTTGAACATAAACATCAAGAAGGGTCGCTGAACAGTTGAAGAAACTAAGGACAAAAAAAGGGTAGTTAAGGAGTGAAAAGGCAGGAGCGTATGGGTTTGATATACACTTGGTATACTAAACAGTCTAAGTATCAAGTGTATCCACCATGTGTGATAAGGTTTGGATGGCGGAAGGACTGACAGGGCAGAAGGGATTATACACCTCTAGGTGATTAATACAGCATAGTGTGGATAGTTTTCTCTGGTAGTGTGAATAGCCCTGCGTTATTGAAAACGAGAGAACTCTCTGAAGGTATTGGAGGAGAAAGGGTACACCAGGACATTCTTGAATGTTTTGTAGTTTGAATCACCTGAAGAGACTGGTGCCACAACCGCTGTTATCTTAAATACCTGAGAGAAGAAGAGAAAGAAAAATAAGTGGATTGTTTGAAGCAGGTGTTAACACAGTTATTTGATCATAAAATGGGTCATATAAACTCAGAGAGATGAAAGGCAATAGCCTTTTTCCAATTTTAACTTTTTTTTTATTATTATTTTTCATTGTTTCAAGGAAGTTGGATTGTCTGAGTGAGTAGGTGGATATTTCATTTGCTTTGGTAATCCATAAAAAAATACTTGACACTGTGGTTGCTTTTATTTTTTTAGTATCATTTTCTCCGAAGAGGAAGGCTATTCTATCCTTCTGGATCATTCCATCAGCTGACTATTGCAACTGTCAACAAAATTTCTGTCTTAAGATGTTTTCTTCACTTTAGTCTGTAAATTAAATTGAGGGCATATCTGAAGTGTCACTGCCATCTCTTGTGTGATACGTATGTCAGATTACTCTGGAAATTGTCAGAAAACCTGAATGTGTGCTTTAGTGTGACATTTGTTCATTCAGATCGATTATTACTGCTGCCAATACCTGTTTTAATATAGTGCTTAGAGAAGACAAGCACTTTATAGAGAAGTGTTAATACCCTTATCCCTGGTTTAAGATGAGGAACATCAGCGTAGAGAAGGAAAGTGCTTTGCCCATAGTCACTTACAGAATTGATGGGTCCTTAAAACTAGTGTGATATTGGGAGGGGAGACTGTTTTGGATCAAATATGACTAATATTTACTTTTTAAAAAGAACATTGCATAACCTATGAAAAATTTTGTCTCAATATGTGAAATTGTCTCTATCCAGATTTTTATTATCCCTACTAAAGAAGACAGATTGCTTTCTGCTATTGTCTGTTTAGCCAGCTCTGAGACCTATTGGACAGATTGTATGGTGTGCTGATTAATGATATAGGCTGTGGGTGATTAGCCAAGTGTGTAATGAGATCCATAGCTTCCAGTGTATTATAGAACTGCCATTGATCAAGAGAACCACAGTCTGTAGTGTTTTCTGCAAAGTAAATGTAGACTAGTGGAAAAAAGTGGTGTAGCCCCTGAAGAGCTGCTGCAGTGCTACACAGCTGTGCTTATTTGCAGAGGAGGGTTGAATTTAATGTAAGGATTTGAAGATTCAGTGGTTTGGGGTTTTTTTCCTTGATACCTTTCTTACTGTGATTATGGGCATCTCTACCCCATTTTTCTTGTGGAATAAATACAAAAGACTTAATGCACATGTGATAAATTTGCAAGATTGTATTTCTACATGTGCTTAAAAAAGTGTTTCTTTTGTATCCCAGCATCCAAGGGCAGGAGGCAGAATAGCTTGATGAATTCTGACAAAGAGTATGCTGTTTTATAAAATGTTACTAGATCAAGCTGTCAGATGTCAAAGCCTGTATATGCTACTTTTGTAGCTGAATATATATTTTTTTAAATATAAAATCAGTACTGGTTAAATACTTTCCTTTTTAGAGAATGCTGAAAATACATAATATGTTTATGACTTTAATTTCACATTTTTAATTCAGTAATTCTGCTATAGGAATGGGGTTTTTTTCATACTGTGTCCTGAACAACCATTGGCATTACTGCTTCAAGGCTATATACATTCAGATTGTAGAACAGAGTTGGTTCATAATTTTTTTTTCTAAGTGTTTTTGCTAAAGCAGTAAAATGAGGTAATTCATTTGCCTATTATTACTACTCTATTAAAATTTCTGTAAATATCTCTTTCTAATTTATAGGTAGTAGCTCAATTCCAAATTTCTTTCGCATCATGGAACGACAGTTTACTGAAACAGAGTGGGGTGTAATCAAGTCTATGAGTAATGAATGGATGCAGCTGGATATGTTTTATCGGCACTGGGTAATACTGTTTTCCAATTTAAAGACTGCAATGCTGTAACCTGCATGTTCTCTTTTGATATATTTTGTTGTTAACAGAAATTATGGTAAGATTGTATACTTTTTATAGTTACATGTTCATGTGGAGATAATACTTTAATGGGTTTTATATATCAGTGATTTTTTTTAATGTCAGAATGACTTTGAGAAGCATAGTACAGCTGATATTACTAGAAGGATTTACAACTAGTTTTAAACACATACACAGAAACAAGGTAAAGGTTTTGTCACCTGTATGTGCCACTTGTTAATTCTGGCTGCATGTTCATTATAATGCAGCAAGTTAGACTAGGTATTAAGAGTGAAAACTTTTTCTCTTCATAGTTAGATCAGTCTACCCTCACATTTACAGTAGTATAAGTCTTTACTTTATTTGGTCTACAGTGTCTGCTCAGAAGTAGTGTTTATAGAACAGTTTGAAAACAGCCAATATGAATAAAATACATTTATTTTATGTTACAGGCCTTAAAGGAGAGCTTCTTAAAGGCTATTGGAGTTGGAATTGGTTTTAACTTGCAAAGAATTGAATTTAATGTGTACCCATTGCAACTGGAAATAGGGAAGGTGTATAAAGAGACAAAAATGCTTTTGGATGGAGATAAGGAAGAAGACTGGACATTTGAGGTAAGAAATACTCAAATTTATTTTTTCAATAGTGATAAACATTCTCAACACCCTATGGTTGCATTACACATTTGATTTTTTTTTTTTTAATTGCAGCTTCACACCTTTATTCTGTATAACAACATTGAACATATATCAGTCAAAACTTAAGATCTAAACCTGCAGCATTTTAAATTATTTTTGATGATCACAAAACACCCCAGGGATATAATCCTTGTAATGGCTTTTTATTTTTTCTCTTCCTGGAGTATATTTTTTGCTCTCTATAAAATTCATCTTAGGGCATGCAGGAAGTTCATTGCAGCATATTCAGACCTGACTTCTGAACAGTGTCTAAGATTTTAAAGTTCTGCATCAGTTGGTCTCAAATGGGACTAGTGATTAACTAACCGCATTAGTTAGTGGTTTTGTTAAATGTTTGAAATAGAGGAGGTGTCTTCAGCTTCTTTGGTTTTCTTACTTCTTGTCCATACAAGCTGGTAGAAACACATACTTTTGTGGGTTTGGAGTTGCAGTGTGCTGATTAGCTGCTGTCTGTGGGGATGGAGAGGTGCAAAAAACTTGCCTTTGCTTAATTGGAACATTAGTTTGGGCTCATTATTCTATCTGAGTATTGGGTTTGGGGTTTTTGTTTGTTTTTCCATCTTGAAAGTTATTGAGACTTATAAGTAAAACACCTGTCCTGTTAGATTTGGTAGGAAATGATCAGTAGCATCTAATGTAGTTTAAAGGGTATAAAGAGAAAGAACTGATAGGGACACGGTTTAGTGGTGGACCTGGTAGTGTTAGGTTAACAGTTAGACTTGATGAGCTTAAAACTCTTTTACAACCTAAATGATCCTACGATTCTATACAATGGTTTCAAATTATTTAATTACAATAAGAAATCAAGCTTTTAAAAAAAGTCACAATATAATTTCTCTACATCCCAGAGGCACTTTCATTCAACCACTTGAAGGAAAAAATGCAAAAGACATTGACTTCAAAATTGTCTGTAAAGGGCACCTTGTTCCAGTCTGCCATAAGTTTGTACAGCTGGTATATATCTGACTAGCAACTCAAAGAATGCATACTTCGCAATTTCATGAAAGAGTCAAGTGCACTTTTCAGTCAGAGTATTGGGTTTCCAATACATGTTTAAATTTTGAAATTATCTACATTGATGGAGACAACTGTTCGAGTAGAGCTTGTCTAAATGACGAATTTCTGCTGTATGCTTGTTTTGTGTAGTATACAAGCTACATGTATGGTAGACATGTAGTAAAAAAGAATGAATGAATGTACCAGTAACATTTTACTTGGACTGTAAGTTGTCTTCTTCACAGTTCATTCCTTCCAGCATTTCTAGCCACATTTAGTTTTGTCTTATTTTAAAAGTCTATCCATACTAAATCAGCCCTCTTATTGATATTTCCATACTCTTTAGGAAATGAGTATGTCATGAAATTTACTAGTTGGAATTATACACTGGCAAAAGAAAATCTTAGGAAAGACTGTGACACATCTTGTAATAGAATGCTTACTGTATTAATGTTAACAGTGTACCATTGTCAAGGAAGTATCTACCTCTTTGAATTGACTTCTGGAACTCCTAGTTTTGGTGTTTGGTGAAATGCCTGTGGTTGGTTGACTAAAATAGCCTGACGATGATGATGTAGATAGCTCCCTGTATCACTTAAATGCTTTATAATTATTTGATTTTTCCTTATTGCTTAGTAATGACTGCTAGAAGCTTAATTTAATTTTTGTCTGAGATATGTCTCCTCTTCCATGCTTGCCCTCCTGTTTCCCAAGAGCACAGCCTTATAATGAGGCAGATTGTAGTATTTCAAATAAAAGATTTATTATCAAGTTTCATTTAAATACATGCTCAACCAGTATATCATTTCATTTAAATATTAACATTTATTTAAAATTAAATTGGAAAAAAAAATTAGTTTTTCAGTTACCAATCCCCAGCCTAAAAGTAAGCATCACTTTTACTTTGTCTTCTCCCAGATTTCTTTTAATTTTGTGCCCATTTTCTTCTTTAAAAAAGTGGGGGGTTTGCTTCATTAATTGCCCTTGAGCCAACTTCTTGAAACAACTTGTTAACTGCAAACAGTAATTTTGAGAAATCTGTGAGAGTCATCCAATAGAAGTTGTTAAGAATCACCTGTAAGACTGCATATTACTGGTATAGTATTTTTCTTGTGTTCCCAGCTGTGATGAATTTGCTTGAGTGAATTTTTTCTACCAAACAATATAATGACCTCACTTTTACTTTTCATATCTGCCTATATCTTTATGATAGGAGATGATCAAAGAGAGCAAGGATGTTTAGTATCCAATTATCACATATTTTGGATTGTTTTATTTCAGTTTTAAAGGTAATCTAATTTACCAAAAGCGGAAGACAGTAATAAAGGGGATTTTGCCTATTTAAATTACAGAAAATAATCTGAAATCTCCTTCAGAAAGTACCATGTAATGTGAAAAAAGCAACTTAAAAGCATAAAGACTAGAGAAGGATCTATCACCTTATACTTGTCATGACAAAAAGGTCAAGAGAAGTATTAGTGAATTAGAGCAAGTCAAAGTTGACACTGTTCAGACACCGTGTAACTGTTTACAACAAGAGCAAACCCTGTTCATACTGGAGATAGAATTTTTATGTGAACATTAAAAAAAAAAAATTTCTGTTATTTCATTGGAAATACACAACAAAGTAGTTCACTTCATAGTTGACTGTTTGCTGTCCCTTTACCAAGGGTTTAGTTTTTTTCAATGTGTCTTTCCCCTCCTCTGCTCCTCATTTATTTTTGAGCTTGGATAGAAGGCAGTAGCTCAGAAACAGCCTCTTGGTTTTTGATCTTGATGGATAGATTTAGCTGTAGGCACTTGTTTTCATACAGTACTCTAGAGATTGCTACTCAGATTCCCTCCAACTGTTTTGGAAGGAGTAGAAGAAAAAAATACAGTAAAACTTCATTTAAAAACATAAATTTATGTTAAGATATGTTAAAATATGGGGGGTTTTGACATAGGCAATGCACGTTTTGCTCATTTTGAAAAAGTGATAATTAAAAGTTTACTTAACCCAGTAAATGGTGACACAGTATTTGTATCTGGGTGTTAATTTAGGATGGAGCCATTATTATGCTGCTGATGATGATGATTATTATGAGTAATTCTATATGCTCCATTTACTTCCTTTGAAGGAAATAGACTTACAGAATGGAGTACTAGTTAATTTTAATAAAAGTGAAAGAAGTTGACCAATAATAATTATGACAAGTTTTATAATTTAGAGATAAACGTAAGTTTATAGTAATATACCTGTAGCAGATCTGATATGTGGGAAAAAAAAATCTAATTATTGATTTGCAAAATGTTAAGTGTATTCATGACTTTCCTTGTTAGGCCAGTTTTGTACAGTTGATCAGGAAGAACGGCTGGATAGCACTTACTGGATTTAAGAGGAATCTTAAGTGAGACATAAGACAATTCTGGTTTGGTCCCTACCTCAGTTTTGAATACAACCAGTTTATAAAGAAAGCATCAAATTTATCTTATACCTTGCTCAGGGATTAAGAATCACCTGGCATCTCTGCTGCTACATAAATAATTGTTTGCCTTTTTTTCACAACAAATATTTGCTTGGTTTCTCTATATGCAAACACATTACAGAATATGAATTTCAAACCGAGGTTACCTGGGTCAGTTTGAAACATGTTTAGTAATTGGTGTTGGTGTGCAACTGTAACGGAGTCTTTCAGTAAGAGAAGTTAATCCTGTTGTATTGTCAGGAGTAAATAGGAATGAAAACTTTTACTTCTAAGACTAGCTAGTCAACCTGGATTCACACAGCAGTCAGTTCTTCTGGCTGGGAAGGTACAGTTTTCTCATAAACTGTCTGTTGCTGAGTGAATCCAGAATGATTTAAATCCCAGACAGTGTTCTGCTGAGCCTTTGAAATGAGTCTCAATGTGCCTGTAGCTTGAACAGCTCTAGTAACACTTTGGTTCTGTGCAGAGAAAAACAAATTTTGATCCATTACATGTTTTCTGGTTTATAGAGAGGAATCCTAACAAAACAGAGGTAAAGGAATTCCTCCTTTACCTTAGAGGAATTCCTGTACGGTTGTTCTCTTTCTGTTTTTGTTTAATCATCTATTTGCCAAACCCTGCCCCACATATTTCCATTTAAGAAGTTGGATTTATTTTATAAGCTGGTATAACAATATCTCCAGGTGAATAGAGCAACAAGTTGATTTGCTCTTTTTTATGGTTCCAGTATGTTTCATTAACTCTATACCTTAAAGTTTTTGCTGGCTGCTAGTAGAGGCCAGGGAAGATCTCCTTCCCTTCTGTATTTGTTTTAAATTTACATTTCTCTGAAGCAGCAAACATAAGAAGAGGGGCATAGTTTGTTATGTTTTATTGTAAAATGCTGAAAACTCTTTTGTGATCACAGGGGATACGTGAAATAAATGAGTTGGAACCTTCTGAATTCATTATCCATTGGTCAGGGTCTCTGCAGGGGAGTGGTCCCTGTTATCTAAAGAGTCACTGCCTGTTAAATGCAACCTTGAGCTGATAAAAAATTAGTTTTATTAACAATATGTAAAAAACTTTATAATATGTTTATAGTTGCACAAACAAGAAGTAATACATAAGTTCACTTCATGAAAGTAAATTTTTATGCATTTAGCTTAAAGCTGTAACACAGTTGTTTGCAGATTTTGATTACAGATATAGGCCACTGCTGAATATGCTGTGCTGTGTCCTCTGTTCTCACCAGTCTTTGACCTCTTGGACATGCAAAAAATGAAAGAGGGGCAAAAATAAAGTGACAAAAAATTGAATGTAGTAATTTTTCTATATAGATAAACACAAAACGCAGCCACCCTAGAACTATATAAATTGTTTAGCTACACTTGATCAAACGTGGTTTTCTTATTCTTTTTTTATTTTTGAGTAAGTTATGGAAATGTGGATAATATGTACAAATGGTTAGATTTCATTAAACTTGAGGTTACATATTCTTTATGCTTGACTTATTTTCAGTCTTGTACCCTAGTAAAGAAACAGAAAACCTACTAAAATACTTCATAGTAAGTACGCCTACCGCTCTTGCAGTCATGGGAAATACCACTTACACTGCAGATCTGTTACATGTTTCTCATGTGCATTAAGTATTTCTCCTAATCTAGACAGAATTGAAGTAGTCATTTTCTTATTAGTGCTTTGCAGAAAGGTAAAACAACATGAACTTGATGTTTTCTTTATAAGTCAGTGAGAGAGACAAAGTTCAATGCTAAATCTGTCAAATAGGCACAGTTTTGGTGCTGAAGAGATCAAAGTAAAAACACAGTCCTACTCCCACAAGCCAAGACACATCTCTGCCAGTAAAGTCCCCCAGCCTTATAGTTGTACTGCTGCTACAACAGCACCTGCTGTCTTGGTTGAGTTGAGTTAAGTAGATCCAAGCTGAGCATCTTGGCACTTTTTTTTTATATACAGGGCTGTTTGGGAATCACAGAAATTATATTTTGCAACTGGAATCTTTGAAAATCCTGTATAGTAGATGAACTTTAGACAAGTGTTAATGCAGACTGACAGCATTGTTTTAAAAGACATTTTACTTAGATTAAAGGAAAAAAAAAAAAAAAAAGGCGATCAACAACGTGTCAGAGGAAATAGGAGGACATCATGCTTTCTTTATATTATAATATAGTACAGTTAGAGTATTCCCCAAGGAAGCGGAAATTGGAACTTCAGTCATACCTCCCAGGAGAATATCCAGACTACTAGCCGATTTTCAGATTAATGGTGATACCTAAATTGTTCATTTTTCTAGGTAAAATTTTTGTTGTTCTTGATTTCCATTTTAGAAAGCTTGTGCAGAAATTATGGGAAAATTTTTGGATAAAGAAACAAAAAAACATTATTCCCCCCTTTATGTGTACTAAAAAAAGAAAGCCAACAGGATTATGACTTGACTATAGAATAAACATTATTCAGAAATAGTATATAAAAGTATTTTTTTCTGAAATGAATTGTTTATAAATTATTCTTAGCCTTTCTAGAGAAAAAGTGCTCAGACTGCCATGTCAGAAATTTGAAGTTGTGATCTTACACTCTGTCTGAAGCCAAGAGTGAGGGAGTATTTGGTTTAAGTTTACACTTACATCATTGTTTTTCAGAATACTTCCCAGAAATTCACAGTTCATCTCATCGGAAAACAGATAGTTAAGATGGGTTATATGGCTTGTGACTTAGAAGGGACTGGTAAAGGAATGCTAAGGTCACAGACTTGAATATAAATATCTACAAATGGGTGAGATGATGGTAACCTATAGTAGCCAGTTCAGCCCAGGTAACTTTTTAATGTGTCTGCATCATTGAGCTCTCCGCCAAAACTGCCAAAAGGGACTATTGCTTTTTGAATTTCATCATTCTAAACTATTTTAAATTATGTTTTGCTATTGTTCTGAACCATATTACAAACATTTATATAGCCTTTGCTGGAAACAGAGTAAAGAAAATGCATTTACATTGCCATTTTTCATATCTACTAGGAAACCCGGTTAGATGACCATCATCATGTTGCAGTGGCTCTCGGGAAACAGGAGGGATTTGGACAGAAGTGTTCTGATGTAAGAAATTATGAAACGTTTTCAGGTCTTGGTAACTAATCACTTGAACATAAACTTAGTCTGATACTGTAGCTAAAAGTTTGTTATCTCAGATGTAGGGCCAAGGAGAAAGCTTATCTTGAAGCACAGTATTAACCAGATTATTACTGAACTGTTACCTCTAGTTCTATTGTGCCTACTTCAGGAAAGGTCTGGGAAGGAGAACTGGTTTCAGAGGACAGCAACAGATAATGTAAAATCTGGAATGTATGCGTTACAGCATTCAGTGTCTTCATTCGAGAGAAGATTAAGTAAATTTTGTCACAACCTTCTAGTGCTAAAGTGGGAAAGATGATTTTCACAAAGGGAAATGGAGACAGTGAACCAATCTGAACGGCTAAACTAGTACGGCACCTCACCAAGTTGAATTTAATAGGGGACTGTCAGTGCATGTATCCCAGAGCAGATCCATCTCTCAAACACCATTATGACAAGATAACTCGTGAGACAAACAACAACAACCAACAGATGGGAAGAACAGCAGTGTTAGTCTTCATTACATGTGCTGTCTATTGAAAGAAGCAACAAAACTACTTGAAAGCTTTTCAGGATTTTCTGTGTAATTTAACAAAGACCTGAGTCATGAAAATAGCAATAAAAGTCAAATTTGAGGCAGACTGGCAAGTTGTAGCCAAAATAACCAGTCAGCAAAGGAAAGTGTGACAAATTGCCAGGTTTGTCTGTGGTGTTTTAGTTGCTCAGGAGAAAATGGGCTAGTAGTTTTCTGTTATTTAGACACAAAGATTTTGACAGGAACTAGAGAGAAAAAAAAAAAAAGCTATATGAATGGATAAAAGGTTGAAAGTGGCCGTACACACATCTATCAGGGTCATAAAGTCTGCATCTGTGTTCATGGATATCACAGAGAGGCAGATCTTTTAATAGTATTGCTTAGATTTAAAAAAAAAAAAAAAAAAAAAAAAAAAAAAAGAGGTATAAACTACCTGTGAGGATTTACTGTGGTAAATCAGTGCTCAAATATTCAAGAAAATATGTGCATCCTGTTTGACAGGACATACTTAAGTTCCCTGTGGGGCTGCATATCATCATTCCTACAGGAATACTGATATCAGTCTGAGGTGAAAAGAAGGTGGCTGTTATTTCTAAAGACAATTACCTAAGTATTCTACAAAAATCCAGTATTTTTAAGTATTAACCTTCATCATCATTGTCACACACCTTAATATTATCTTAGAAAGAATAGGCATGGTATCAAGAGTCATGATGAAAAGTCTTTGAATGAGAAAGAGTCTCAAAGGTGTACTTGTCCACTGACTAAATTTGTGATGACCTAAATTTCATTAGCTCAATTAATTGAAAAAAATTCTTTTTAAATAGGACAAGTGAGCATTCTGTGACTCCCCAATATGGAAATGAAGTGAAAAATTCTGTACCTATTGCATTATGCCTTTTTCAGGACTCCTAACAGTAATGGGATGAAATGAGAGTGGCCTTCTCTCTAATGGAACTGTAAAAAAGGATTATAAGTATTGCTAGATGTGTTGAGAGGAAAACGTGGTCTTCGTCTTAGTTCAAAAAAAATTGAGTTTGTAGACATTATGAAATTGCTTCAGCACATCAATGCTTGTTTCTGTTTCCCCTCTGTTATCACAGGAGTAATTTGTTATGTCCTGTTTGTAGAACATGTAGTTTCAGGGAGCTTGCTTCCCAACCTGATAGCAAGTACCTACAATTCACAGGAAGGCCAATTGTTACTTTCATGTACTATAATTTAAATTCTCTACTGTCAAGAATCTTAACAAAATGTCTGCAGATGACTGCTATATGCTTGAAGAGTCAGAACATGTATCTACATTCTTAACCTAGTGTCCTGGTTTGAGCCCAGAGAGCAACTGAGCACCACTCAGCCGTTCACTCACCCCTTCCTCCTCAGGAATGGGAAGGAGAAATTTAAGTAAAAGGCTAGGGAATAGAGGTAAGGACAGAGAGGGGTGGCTCACCCACTACAGTCAGGATTAAAAGACAGATTCATTAGGGGAAGAAAAAGAACATCAGTTTAGTTCAAACACTAACAGAGACAACACTTAACAAACAAGGTGGGACAATAAGAAGTGCCACCACATCCAAAAAACACCTCCCACCACCCTTCCCGGGCTCGGTTCTGCTCCTGATCTCTCTCCCTCCTCCCCCAGCAGCTCAGGGGGCAGGGATGGGGGTTACAGTCAGCTCGCTGCTCCTTCGTTCTCAGGTGGTGGGGTGAACGCTGCACATTCCTCCCCTGCTCCATATGGCTCCCCTCTCACTGCAGACAGTCCTTCATGAACCTTCTCTGGCGTGAGTCCTCCTCACAGGATGCAGCCGTTCCCATGCTGATCTGGCGTGGGTCACCCCTGTGTGTTGCAGTCCTCCCAGTGCTGAACTACAACAGCGGGGCTTGCTTCTTCCCTCAGAATCCTGGCTTAATTTAAGTGCAGATGCCTCTCCCGCTGTGGGCTCCTCCACAGGCTGCAGATTGGCCTCAGTTCTACTGTGGACCTCCGTGGGTGGCAGGGTGGGCAGCCCCACCATCTCACCACAGGATACAGAGGTCTCTGCTCTGGCACACCTCCCCCATGTCTTCCTCCTTCCTTTCACTGACCTCAGTGTTTGCATAGGTATCCTTCTCATAACTCCTCCTCACAAGTCCCCACACCCTCTCAGGTTCCCCTTCTTAAATATGTTCTTATGGAGGCACAGCCACTGTCGCTAATCGGTTCGGCCATGGCCAGACGTGGGTTCGACTTGGGTCTGGGGGAGCTTTTAAGAAGCTTCTCACAGAGGCCACTGCTGTAGCCCCCTCCCCTGCTACCAAAACCCCTGCCACTCAAACTGAGCACACCTAGATCTAGACAGTTATCTGAGGCAAGTCTCAATGAAAGATGGCTGAGTTTATAACTATACAATTCCTATGTAGGCCATAAAATATGTTTTCATCTATCACTTTCTTAATTTAACAGGACTTGTGATGAATTCAGTCAGAACACACTTGCCTTCAGACAAGCATGTGCTGAAGTTCAGACTAGATCTGTTAACAATCTCCTTAGCTCTGAGGCTTAGTTCATATTTGGTATGCATCTGTGATGTCACTTGCATGGCTCTAGGCACAGTTCCTGCAGCTTTACCTCATCTACAAAATACCAGATGAACAGGAATGTTTCAACACCATGTCACTTAGGTGAGGATATAAAATGACAGGCAGCTCAATTAACTTTTGCTTTCAGTCTGCATTGGACAACTTTGTTTTGCTGTGCTGTTACAACAAACACCAACCATTCTCTTGTCTCTCCATTTGTTCCTAGCAGTAGCTTACTGCTAAAAACCACTGAAGTGGAGAATAGACATTTTTGCTTTTACCTATTTACTGACCTCCCTTCTCTGATGTGACAGAAAGGGATAACAAAATGGGCCTTAGACAGGGTCACCTCCAGCACTTGCATGCAAACAAACAAATGCCTACAAGGCACCATTATGGACAAATCCCCCAAACCTTCTCCAGGAACTCAACATGCTGGGGTGTCTCTCTGAAGTGCCTGTACTCTAGTGCACACAGTATGGGGAATAAACCATAGAGATCTGTATACAGCTGCAGGGCTATGATCTTGTTGGGATCATGGAGACAGGGTAGGATAGCTCCCATGGCTGGAGTGTTGAGATCAAGGGGTACAGGCTCTTTAGGAAGGACAGGCAGAGAAGATGAGGAGGGTGAGTTGCCCTTTAAGTGCTAGAGCAGCTGGAGTGCGTGGAGCTCTGCCTGGGGATGGATGAGGAGCCAGCTGAAAGTTTATGGGTTAGGATTAAGGAGAAGGCAAGTCACGGTGATGTTATAGTGGGTGTCTGCTGTATGCCACCTGACCAGGAAGAACAGGTGGATTATGCCCAGTACAGGCAGGCAGAAGCAGCCTCCCATTCACAGGCCCTGCTCCATACGAGGGACTTCAGCCACCCCAGTATCTGCTGGAAGCACACAGCAGGACATAAGCAATCTAGGAGGCTCCTGTAGTCCACTGACAACATCTTCCTCCTCCAAGTGATAGAGGAGCCAACTAGGAGAGGTGCTTTGCTGGACCTCCTACTCACCAACAAGGAGGTGCTTGTTAGGGATGTGAAGGTCAAAGGCAGCCTTGACTACAGTGAACATGAGGTGGTGGAGCTCAGGATCCTGTGGGCAGGGAGAAGGGCTCACAACTGTGGACTTGAGAGCAGACGTTGACTTCCTCATAGATCTGCTTGGAAGAGTCCTGTGGGATAAGGCCTCAGAGGGAAGCGGAGCTCAAGAAGACTGGTTAATATCAAAGGATCACCTCCTCCAAGCTCAAGAAAGTTCCGTTCCAATGCATATAGAGTCAGACAAAAAGGCCAAGAGGTCTGTGTGGAGACAGAGCTCCTAGCCAAACTCAAACACAAAAAGGAAGCATACAGAGAGTGGAAGCAAGGATGAGTAACCTGGGAGGAATACAGGAACATTGGGCATCCAGGGACACAGTTAGGAAAGCTAAAGCCTAAATGGAATCTAATCTGGTCAGGGATGTCCAAGGCAATGAGGAGGGTTTCTGTAAGTGCATAGAAGCCAAAGGAAAGACCGGGGACAATGTGGAAAATGAGACAGAGGCCCTGAGTACACAGGACATGGAGGATGCTGAGGTATTGAATGCTGCATTTACCTCCATCTTTATTAGCAAGACTGGCCTTGAGGAATCCCAGGTCCCAGGAATGAGAGGGGAAGGAGCAAGGAAGATGTACCCTTAGTGGAAGAGGATTAGATCAGGCATGTACTTAAGCAAACTGGACACGTGTAAGTCCATGAGCTCTTATGGACTACAGCTGGCAGATGTCATTACAAGGACACTTTCAATAATCTTTGGTTGATCGTGGCAACTGGGAGAGGTACCCAAAGACTGGAGGAAGGCAGATGTCACTCTGTCTTCAAGAAGAAGGACCCAGGGAATTACAGGCCTGTCAGCCTCACCTCAATCTCTGGAAAGGTGGCAGAGCAGCTAATTCTGAAAACAATTTCCAGGCACATCAAGGACAAAGAAATCATCAGGATTAGTCAGAATAGCTTCAGCAAGAGAAAGTCACGGTTGACCAACTTGGTAAACTTCTACAATGAGATGACTGGACTCGTAGATGAGGGGAGATCAGTGGATATTGTCTACTTAGACTTCAGTACCTTCTACCTCTGAACACTGTCTTTCCTGAGATCTTCCTGGAGAAAATGATGTACGTACTGGATAAGCAGACAGTGAGGTGTACTGAAAACTGGCTGAATGGTTGAGACCAGGGAGTGGTGGTCAGTGCCACAAAGTCTGGTTGGAGGCCAGTAATTAGTGATGTACCCCAGGGGTCAGAATTGGATCCAGTCCTGTTTAACATTTTCATTAATGATCTGGATGACGGAGCAGTGTACCCTCAGCAGGTTTGCTGGTGATACAAAACTGAGAGGAGGGGCTGATATACCAAGAGGTCATACTGCCATCCAGAGAGGCCTTGACAGGCTGGAGAAGTGGTCCAAAAGGAACCTTATGAAGTTCAACCATGAGAAGTGCAAAGTCCTGGGGAGCAGCATCCCCCAGGCACAAGGACTTGCTGGGGGCCAACCAGCTGTAAAGCAGCTTTGCAGAAAATGCACTGCGGGTTCTGGTGGACACCACACTGAACATGAACCAGCAATGTGCCATTGCAGCAAAGAAGGCTAATGGTATACTGTGCTGCATTAGACAAAGTATTGGCAGCAGGTCAAGTGAGGTTATTCTTCCCCTTTGCTCAGCACTGGTAAGGCCACATCTGGGGTACTGTGTCCAGTACTGGGCTTCTCAGTATGAGACATGGACATACTGGAGAGAGTCCAGCAAAGGGCCATAAAGATGATTAAGGCACTGGAATGACTGTTCTATGAGGAAAAGCTGAGAGCTGGGACTGTTCAGCATGGAGAACAGAAAGCTACCAGGTGGATCTTAGTAATATATATAAATACCGGAAGGGAGGATGCAAACTGGATAGAGCCAGGTTCTTTTCAGTGGTGTCCCATTACAGGGCCAGAGGCAGTGGGAACAAACTGACACACAGAAGGTTCCCTCTGAACATCAGGAAGCACTCATTTTTTCACTATGAGGGTGTCCAAGATTGCCCAAGGAGGTTGTAAAGTCTCCATCCATGGTGATATTCAAAAGCTGTCTTGACATGGTCCTGGGCAACTGGCTCTAGGTGTCTCTGCTTGAGCAGGGGGGTTGGACCAAATGACCTCCAGAGCTCCCAATCTCAGCCAGTCTGTGATTACCAGACATCAGTATTTGCTCCCCAAGAAGTTAACAGTACCTTAGCCTGCATCAGAAATGAGTCAGTTTGTGTGATGTACAGAATAACCCCACTGCAGAGTAGCCTTGATGAATTCTATCAAATACTAAGCATTAAGAATATGTTGCTTGAACAAAGTATTCACGTTCGATTCATGCAGCTGTACTATTTGCCCTGCTGTCTGGAAAGAATTACACTTACAGATAGCATACAGCAGGCTGCACAGGAACATGTGCTCAAAAAACTAAACCTGTTTTTCTTTGAAATGTGATTTTTCTTGAAGTGATGGAGCTAACACAGAGACTGTGACACTCATCTCTCATATCTCAGTCTGCATTTAATCTGGATTTAACACGGGGAACTGTGGGTTGACTGTGACCAGTTTTGTCCTTAAACAGTGTGAGTTTGAGAAAAGCATGCACAACTCTAGTGATTGCTGGTATTGGTACGAATAGGCACACCTCTAGTGGAATAAATCTTCGTGCTATCATCTCAAATAATCATGTCTGCTGGAGAATGAAGTACAGTTAGTTTGTTGGTGCTTTTTTAAATTCATTTTCTCTAGACTTAATTACTCATTCTGTGGTATTTGCAGCATTCTCTGTCCCTCGTTCTTTCAGTTTTCTGAACTACACTTGAAAGAAAAACTTGCTTTTTCTGTGTGGCCTGTTAAATGCTTCTGTTAGTTACTGTATAGCCTAAAGTAGGGACAGTGATATTGGTCTTAACTGGAATATTTTCTTTCTTCTTCAGTAAGCAATGTGTAGATTAAAATGGACGGAGAATATTAAAGGAAGAAAATTGAGATTTATTGATTCATGTAATATTAATATGTGTTTTCCTTAGGTATGTTCCATGGAGCCTAACCAACCACAGTTTACATTATTGACTTTTGAAGATTTAGTTGCATCTGGTATTCCAGTCACACCTGAGGATCCTGCATGTTGGGATAATTTTTTTTCTAAGCAGGAGTGTCCAATGAAACAGAATTCCCATTCAAGATAAGAATGTTTGTAAGAAAAATAAAATTGTCAAAAGTTTTTATGCTGTTATTCTATGTAATTCAGAGTGTGGGCAAAAGTGCACATGAGTAAATGTAACATGTTTTTCCTTATTTAAAGTAAGTCTGATATTCACCTTTTTAAAATTGACATTCCTTATCATGATCTTGAGGAAGATGAGTGTTTCATCAGTGAAGGAATTATGAGTGAAAGGTCTGGGCTGGCCACATGCTTTTCTGCTTCTTCATGCCTGTGGTTCTTACACTTCAGTAATTACCCATGCTAGGAACAGGGAGCAAAGCTACAATAATGTTGATTAGTCAACAAGTGTTTAATATATAAAAATGTGTTTCTATAGTTCATTTTTGCTGAAGCTTAAATTATGATATTGCCTTTTTTTTCTTAAAAAAATAATAGTTTTATTCTCAGATGGATGAATACAGCCAGAAAAATGGATAGTAATCTTTTTGCTGTTGCTATACGGTGTAAGTGTTTGTGCAACACTTTATGTAGTATCAGGCTGAAGAGGTCTCAATCTTAGTAGTCTTGAAACTACATCTGTGCAAAACTAGTTTCAGGCAGGGAATTAACTTATAAGTATTTCATACTCTTCTCACTTACAATCTTTGTTAATTAAAGCTTCCTGTATGTAACTTGGGATTTGACTTTTAACAGTTCTTCTCGTATTTTTTCCCTCAGCAATAGATATGAGCCAAACAGCAGTTCAATTTTCCTGGACTTGCATTTGCATCTGTACTGTCCTAGACACTAAATCATGGGGATACACCAAACAAAAAAACCTTATTTACTTTTTTCCAGAAAGTCTTATAACATCTGAAGACAGAGTATTTTATTGTCTTGCAGTGAATTAAATTTTCTGGAGAAGATCTGTAGATCTTGAGTGCACCTTTAGAATATTTCATATTCTTTTTCTAAACAAATCCTGTTTTGTGCCATTACCTCTCACTATTCTTTCTAGAAGTCATATATAATATGGTCCATATAAATGGAAACATAATGAACAGAATGAGTCATACTGAATGGAATGATTTTCACAACTAAAAAGCATTTCTGTCCTACAGTTAAACATCGATCTTCAGTGAATTTGGGTTTGTGTACAACTTGACTGCACCCTTTATTCTGACTAAAGGAGAATCTACTTGTAGTGTAACAATTCAATCCATGCATTATTACAAACATAAAGAAAAGGTTTAGAGAAGGATATGAGTTTTACAATATTATACAAGCTCTTGGAGTTTTGCTGTAGATAATTCTGAATTCAAATATGTTGCTAAACTTTCTTACTTCTACCACTTCTGATAAATAATTTTGTATCCGTTTCAGTGACTTTCTCATCTTCCATGTTAATCCTAGTGTTTGGTGGTTTTCTTTTTTCCACCAAAACTGCAAAACAGTGACTCTTCTCTCCAGACTCCACATGAGTTATTTTAGCTGTTCAGTAATTTCAGATCTGAAGTTAACAGAAATACAGATTAATTTATATACATATTTTAAGTCAAGTATTCCAGAGTGGTTTTTTTAAATTAAATACGACTTTTGATAAATAATTGGCACTCCATGGAGGCCACAAAAGGCTATTGAGTGATTATGTAATGGTATCACTTACTGGGGTAGGATATTTTTAACAGATTCAGTTGACTTTGTCTTTTTGTCCTACCTGAAGTGTCAGGTAGTCCCAGATGGGCAAGCACATGAAGATGCTTAAGAGCTGAGATAACTAAAAACATTACAAAGCTGAAAGAAAAAACTTGTTCTGCCACAGGTTTTGGAAATCTGCAGAATAAGGAGGGCTATTCAGAGTACAAGGGGCTGGAGAGTACTGAGCTCTGTGGCTGGCTGTTAACTGGTCCAGTACATGCCAGTCCCCACGAGTCCCTGAGGACCCTACCAATTGCAGTTGTACCAGCCAGTTTAAATTGCCAACTTTTTTCCTGGGACAATGAAATGAACTGTAAATATGGGATGAAATGAATAGAGAATTTTCAGATCTGGATTTCTAGGGATAAAGGAATTAATTTCAGAGTAGAGGTGAGTTATTTTTGCATGGTGACACTGTCTCAAAACAATTTTCCTCTCATTGGAAAGAGTTTAAAAAGTATTAATGAAATTATTTATAATATTGTGCTTGCATGTAAGTAGAGGACAAAGAAATTTTGTTAAATTAGTGAATTACACTTGGTTTATTTTCCAGGAATGTGATGATTTTCAGGACTATATCTAATTAGAAAGGTTACAAAAACAAAGGAGTTTGTGAAATAAAATCATAGTTTCTAATGGTTCAGACACAATCGTGTAGAAGATTGTGTTTTCTCATATTATGATTTTTCCATGTCTTTAATTTACACTGAACTATTTGAAAAATAAGATTAATCGCTCCTTTTTTAACCTTAGGTAGCAATTAGGTGAGGTGATGGTAATGCCCTGTGAAGGGCCACATGAGCATTTTGTTTAGTGTCAGTGTAACGGACAAAATTTTTACACTTGCTTTTACCACTGTGGGAAAGAGCAGCTGTATAGTTACAGAATTATCAGCTAAAAGCATGATGCTAAAAGGCCAACAAGATACTCTGACTCTTTATGAATGTGAACGATCCTTCTGAAAGTCATCAGAATGTTTTTCTGGAAATCTGTAGTGTGGAGGCATGTACTGAAATAAATGTTGCTAGCATGTACAGATAAATTAATGTAATCTCACAGTTCTAAGATTTTTTTTATTATTATTTCACCGTCACATTTTCCATTGTATAAATTATTGAGCCCTGTGTCCACACATGGCCATAACACTGCCTTCCTTGCATTCCCTCAGAATACAGTCTTAATGTCCATAGAGCATCCCTGCCACTATTAGACATACTGGTCCAGCACAGCTTCAGCTTCCCTCCCTAGCTCAAGCTGTTGGCCCAGTCCGGTGCAGATGAGTTGGCCTTTACTGGTCTCCCATCACTCTTCTATCTGCCAGAAATTTCCCCGTTATGTTTAGAAGCCCTGTGGCCTTCAGGTTCCTTCTTCAGAGCTCCATTCCTTCATCTATTTTATTTTCTATGTACTGCCCTAGACATGACCATACCATGTACGTGGATCCTAGAGCGTAAGACGCTGCAAAAACACTAGCTCTGCTGTGCATGAGCCTTTCCCAGCAGGGACTGTGGCTAGGTAGTCTTTTTCCCTATGGAACGGGATTGACCAGCCTCTCTGTTTCTCAAAGTACAAATTTAGATCTTTGGTCAGATCTGCTGCCCTAGACTGCAGATCAACCCATTTCTGAGGAGTAGATATTAATAGTCTCTGACCTAAAAATAGAAAAAAATTATTAAGAAGTTTTGGTCTTCAGTGAACAGATTGTCAAAAGTGAATAAGTGCGGTTTAGTTTGGACATATCATGCTTAAACCTATGTATATCTTTCATAAAAGGATTAGGAACTTCAGGAGATATAACTGTGTTCAAGACAATTTGCAGCTGTGTGTCAAGAGGTTGGTTCCATTTGATGTGAAAATCTTTAACTTTGAAAAGTGGATCATATGAATTCGCTCTTAGCCTTTCACAAAGTCTGCAAACCTATGCAAGATGTATATTGTTACTGTATTATGGGTTCAGATGCACTGATGTTAATCAAATGTACTCGGACAATAAATAGTAGATGTAGCAGGAGAAATAGTGTAAATGTGATTGTAATTTATATGTTTTTGAAGAGACCCAATCAACAGCTCACCTTTAAACAATCATCTTTATCCAAGACATTGCAATAAAGCCACGATCTGTAAAGAAAATCAAGATAGGAAGGAAAAGATAAGCTATTTAAGTGATCTTGGACTGCCTCTTTGTTGGAGCTTTACTAGATTGTACCAAGAAGATAAGTGTTTATTGGGCTGAATTGATACAACCAAGTCTAAAGCAGTGATTCAGACTTCCCTCCTTAACTGCGGCCTAGTTCTGCAGGTGGCTGGACATGCTAATTTGCCCTTCATCTTCCTCCAGAAGCTGGATATTTTGGATTTCTCTACATTGTGTAGCAAATGTAAGCATGAAAATAATTTCTGAATTCTTCTCAAGAAAGCAAACATTTAATTTTTTTTTTTTCCAAAAAGTCACTTACTGTAACATGTTATTTTCTTGTGCTGTACATACAGTTTTTTATGTCCAGATACTATATATGAGTCCTATTTCTGCTAAGATTAAATTTAATTTCTTTATTGAAATAAAAAGTGCATTATTTTGTGTTTCTGATTTTGTGTTGTCTATTTGTGGTTCTACCTTTCTCAGTTATTTTTTAATCTCACTATTATTTAGATCCAGACATTGGTGGAATTACTTGAAACACTTGCCTAACACTCCTTTGTTATTTTTGAATCAATTTATGGGAACACAAAACCTTATACTGTTAGTGACATCCTATGGATGAATCATGAAACAAAGGTCTGGACCAGCTGTCCACACTCCAGCATTCATGTAAGACTAAGTGTGTTTGAGTCTTTCTTCTGTGATGAAAACACTCCCTGGTTTATTTCTACAATTTTAATTTAATAACGTGCAGCCTAGTTTCTTACATAACTATGAGATAAAGTAGGTGTATTCTATAGAGTGTCTTATCATTTGGTCTAAATGGCAGCAGTGTGAGGTTTAGTGCTTTTAGGAAGATACCTGTTTTTAAATTCAGGGCTACAGTGTTGCATAGTGTTACACATGTAAGGAAATTTCTGAAGAATTTGTTTTGGAACTATGTTGTAGAAGACAAAGGTTCTCTATGGTGTAGTAGGAGCTTGTTCATACAGAAAAGGCACTTTTGCTTGTACAGGAGTTTTCTTTAAAACCCTTGAAAAATTCTTTTGGATTTATAAATGTTATAAACAGTAAGAACATGTTTTTTTCAGTTGAAATGCATCTTTGATCCTCCAACATCTAGAGGTACCTAGACACCTTTATTTCTACTTTACAAAGCAGTGAAGCACTGTCAAATAGCAGAGTGTTAGAGAAGCTGTCCAGTAGCTGCCTTATAAAGATGTATTATTCATACCACAAA